AGTTGGTGGAGATTCCCTGGGAAAGCAAAAAGCTGCCCAGAAATAGCTTAGTATGTTTGCATTCCTTTATCCTGATGTTGGTGGCTGTGATAGCTGTGTCAATCTAACTGGCTTGCAGTGGAGCAGACTGGCACAGTTGTGCTATTACTAGGGCAATTTCTTTCTCCCTACAGATGAGCCTCAAGTTTAAGGCAACCGTGTAAAAGTAACAGAAAGGAAAACAGTGGGAAAATGGGAATTTAACTTTTTGGCTCTAGAATTGATGGCATTAGGTTAAAATTAAAACATGTTCAGATCTGTTCTATGCAGACTGAATACGTGTTTCCGGCAAAGAGTTTCTCAGTGTTGTTTCCCAAGGTTTTCATGAGCTGCTTGCCACTGGCTCTTTGAACTATAGGAACTTCGCTCTTATTGTTTGAACGCTGCTGGGATTTCATTGCATTTACTGTGGTGGAGGGTTCAGGCATGCGCAGCCTCAATTAGGTGTCCTTTATATTATTTAAAAATAAATGAAACGGCGGCCCCTGAGGGCTAGTGCTCAAACAGTTGCTTGTGTCTGTGAAACAAGGGAAGAGTTCTGTGCAGGGTCAGGGCCTTGCGGGGGCTGGATGGTGGGGTTAATGCCCACTTAGAAAAACAAGGATGCTCTGATACTCTCGGTGAAGAAATCCACAGCTGCACTGCAGGACGCTGTCTTACAGACCTTTCTTCAGCCCTGTGGGAGCTGTCTCAGGCTCTCAGTCCGAATGGCATAATGTCTCTGGTAACTACAGCAACCATGGAGGCAGAAAAATATTCGGAAAGTATTGAAAGTATTTTTAGCTGTCTTTGATGGGATGTAGCAGCAGGAAAAAGAACAGGGAGCCAGCACTACATGAATGGGGCAGCTTTTGTGCTGGTGGCCAGCAGGCAGGCCTCAGAGGAGAATTTATGAATGTCCGTGTGCCCCAAAATTATCTGATCTGAATTTGAGGTGCTGAACATTTTTAGGATGTGTCCTTTGTGGAGAGACCATAAAAGTGTACACACGTGTGCATATATATGTGTGAAATATCAATTGAAAAACCTGGCCTGATGAACACAATCCTCATTCCTTTATCTACCATGAAAATTGAAAAGCCCCTAGATCGGGGTGGGCAAAGTCTAGTCCACGTGATTCACGACCTGCACACCCCGGGCAAGGCGTGCAGGCAGTGGATCCCAGCTCTGCCCCAGCTCTGGACCACACTGTCACCGCTGCAAGTTTGCAGCCCCAGAGCAGCTCCCTGCCCATCCGTGTGCCCTGCCAGCACTGCTGGGGCAAGCCTCCGTGAAAACCCTGACACTGTGCTGCCATTAGCCAGGTTTTAAATGGAGCAACTGAGGCATGGGGAAGCTGAAGTAACTTGCGCAAGATGAAACGGGTAAGAAGTGGCGGAGTTGGGAGTTGAGTGTAGGTGTCTGTTTGTTTTCCTTTGTCTTTACTTGGCTTGGAACCATAAAAAATGCAGGTTAGACGGGACCTCCGGAGGTCACATCTAGTCCAACTGCCTGCTCAAAGCAGGACCATCCCCAACTAGATCCTCCCAGCCAAAGCTTTGTCAAGCTGGGTCTTAAAAACCTCCAGGGATGGAGAGTCCACCACCTCTCTGAGTAATCTGTTCCAGTGTTTTACTGTCCTAGTGAGATTTTTTTTTTTTTTTTTTTTTT